TGTAACACTGTTGTAAAATTTAAAAGTTTATTATAAATATTGAAATATTATGGGAAAGGAAATTAGTTACTAATAATCTCCTTATTGTTCAAAATTTAAATTGATTTAATTAATTTTTTAAGGGCTGGAGATACAGCTCAGTGTCTCAACATTTGCTTAATATGCAGGAGGACCTGGGTTCCATCCTAGATAACAAATACATATAAATATGAGAGTTTTCATTCTGTTTTTTTTTCTATTCTTACAACTAGTTGCATATATAAGGCACATATTTAGAAAACTCTAATCCTTTTATATATACTTTTTCATCCTCCAAGAAAATAATAATCTTACTTACCATTTACCCTCATTTTCCAAATGTATTTGTGTAATGGCTGACAGTGCAATTAATATTTTTTGATAAAATGATTGTAATAATATAAAAGAAGTATAAGCTTTAACATCACACTTGCATATTATGTATGTGATTAACTTACAGTGTTTGTCTTATCAATAACTACTATAAATACTATGTACACCTTAATTATTTGTCTCTACATAATTTATCAATATTATTGTAAAATAAATGGCAAAATTCCTTTTATTTTTTCTACTTTACTATAATTTGTAGAATTTTGATTTTCCCATAATTGTTGTATAATTTGAGGGGATTTGTGTGATTGTACAATACATATATATAATGTGGAATGATAATGTCTGTATCACCTCAGGTATTTGTCAATTCTTCATGTTGAGAACTTTCCAAAATCTTATGTCTAGCTATTTTAAAATATACAATAAATAAGATAATGTGTATTTTTCAGATATTTGCTATATTTTCCAAATATCTGATCCCTGTAAATTACAGAAATTTATGGGAATCTAATATGAATGGTAAGGAAGCTTTTTGGAGCTATAGAATTCACATAGATCTGACAATTACCAATGTGGATTTCAATCTTGTTTCCAAAACTTCACTACCATAATAGCCTTTTTTATTGGTCATGATTAGTCTGGTAATCATCCTTTTTCTTTTCTTCTTTTACCTATTCTCTTAACTTTTCTATTAACAATGTCATTATCCTTTATTGTGAATGGAGAAATCATTTAGCCAAGGGTTGGACTTTGCAGAATATTCATTTCTCTGCTTGTGGAATGGAGAATGACCATATTTGGCTCTAAACTTTGAATAAAAGCAGATTTTCTGTATACTCAGAAGAAAGTAACCAAAAGTATCCTTTGAAAGATCAAGTAATGATGCAGTAGAAAATCCTTGCTTTCAAATTATAATATGAAGATGTGATATTCATTAAATATATATTAATTCTTTGATTATTTTAAAGAATATGTTTATAGATCTGTTTATAATTATAAACTCAGGACAGCTTACTAATACAAGTGGTACAAATTAATAGGTACTCATTAAAAATGTGCAATTTTTATTCCTTGATACATGTGTAACATACTTTTTTTTTTTAATGTTCTTTCTGTCAGGCAGTTATGGTATGGAGACCCTTATCCTCTCGGGGAGTTTTCCTGAGAAGACTTATGCCATTGGGATAGACAGGAAACACTTCAGGCCTTTCTTTGTTATAATAATTTTTATACAATTTCTTTTTCTTGCTCAAAGTCTTTCAAGGAAGAATGAAAGAGTGTTTGGTGCAGAGACTGTGCTACATTATTTTTCTGTATATTCAGCACTTTCCTATAGTACATGTTAGTCTCTTCTCAATATTCTTTCAGAGAATGACTGGTATTTTTTATGTGGAAAAAAGATCTTCATTTAATTGACCCTATCCTCAAAAGTCCCATCAAAAGTCCCTATTCTTCTGTAACAAAAATGAAATTCACAAAGAGGTGGTGGTATAGTTTGCAAGAATTCCAACTCATATGTATCTTTGCTCCATTTCAGGTAATTCTGTTACTGTGAATGAGTGATTTTGAGCAAGCAAGAAAGAATCACATCTGATGAAGATGTAAGAAAGATAGAAACAACTAAATGGGAACAGGCTTACTTTGGGCAGAGGTTTGGCTGGTCTGCAGTGGAGTCCTCCAGCAAAATGAACATTTGGTAGGGTTGGGAAAGAAAACTCTGAATCCTAGTAGGTGTGAGTGAGCCAGATATCTGCTTTGGCCACTGTCTCTGATAATATAGTGGGTCATACTGAACAACAAAAGGAAGATTAAAGCTGTAGTCCTAATGCTATTGGGAAATTGTCATGTAAATATATATATGCCTGGTGTCTGAAAGGACTTTCAATAATGAAGGTGAAAATGTTTAAAAGTGCATGTAGTTTAATAAACCTACTATGTGTGCATGGAAAATATGTATATAAGTCTGTTTATTATATATATGTTGCTTATATTTACGTATCTATAAATTGTGTCATATATAGAAATGTGTATATGACACAGTGTGAGAAAATGTGGTGAACACACTATGTGTAATCATTTCTTTATTTCAAATCTTAAATATCATCTTAGTAAGCAAGCTAGTATAGAGGTAAACATGTATTTGCTTATCCTCTAAATATGTAATAATAATAGACACAAATGTAAACAAATATTTTGAGTTATATATTCATTCAATATATGAGACTAATGGAAAGAACTTTCCCGCATTCTCCCATCTCTTTCTTACAATTCAGAGGAAGAACTCTGATCCTTGTTTCTGCAAGTGAACTGAAAGAAAGTTGAATATGACTTTTGCTCTTTATATCTACTACTGTTTTGGGTTCATGTTAGGAGCTTGCAAATATTTATTACATAAAAATAATTTAAAGGAAGAGATGGAAGTAGTTAAGAATATATATATATATATGTGTATATATATATATAATAAAAATACATTCACTCATTTTTTTACTTGACAATTTAAACAGAAGACTAATAATTTGCATTTCTATGCTTCAACATTATATGCCTTAAAGAGAATGAATTGCAGACCCTTAGTGAGGAAATATGGAAGTGCTAGAAACCACAATTATAGGCCTCCTAGTCTGGGATGAAAACATTGTTTCCCAATTGAAAAGGAATCCATTAGGCAAAATGACAAAATTGTTTCTAAATCAAGAATCTAATTGAACTAAAGGGAAACAATTTTCTCAGTGTTACGTAGATAGTTGTACTAGAAATATGTGCGTAAGTGCTCAATCTGTGTGCTTATATTCATCAAGACATTCCCTGAAGTTTAAAATTAGTTTTCAAAAATAAAGAAAATGGACATTGCAATAGTATACTCTATGCAGTTGCCTAGAGAAGTACTTAGAGTTCCATGTGTTGGGTATATGCTTTCCTGGTGTATCTTATACAATTAATGGCTAAAGCTTTCTGACACTTCAATGTACATTACATTTTTCTTCAGTACTTTGAGTTTATTTAGTGATAGTGTTAAAAATAATTCTTCTCATTAGGAAACAGACATTTGAGAATGATGGGAACACAAAGTTAAGAGAATAAGTCTATAAAATGGGCTCACTGTGCTGACCCCCAACATGTTTTATTTTCCAAGAAGCAATTGACCTGCAGCCCTGCCTGGCCTAAGTGGACAGAATATGTCACATTTCTCAGCAAATTACCTGTTAACTGCAGGAAAAATGCAGACTCAAGATAATGTTAATGGGAGGAACCCAAGAGACACTTAAGATCCTGAAATTCTGGAAGATAACAATAGTTCTTCCTAAATGTAAAATCTGTAAGAATGTGTGGTTAAGAATCCAGTTAGAAGCTGAGCACAATGGTGCACACCTATAATCCCAGGGACTCAGGAGACAGAGAGAGAAGGATCATGAGTTCAAAACCAGGATCCACAGCTTAGCAAGGCCCTATGCAACTCAGTGAGACCCTGCCTGTAAATAAAATACAAAAGAGGCCTATGGATATGGGCTCAGTGGTCAAGTGCACTCAGTTCAGTCCCAGGTTCTAAAACAACAACAAAATCCAATTGGAACTAGTCAGCATGGGCCAAGGTGACCTATAGTTGCCATGACAGTCAGTACTTCAAAGTCTGATGTCACCCTGCTCTCAGTCAAAATCCAAAGGTGGACCTGGGCAGAACTTACTGGAAACTTCTCTGGGATTCCCAATGAAACCCAAGTGCAGGAGAGGCATATCTTCCTTCTCCTCTCTGAGAGGAATAATTGTCTCCTTTGAGAGTGTCCTCTTTCCCTTTTGCTATATCCCTTCATGAAACACATTCCTGTTACTCTGAGTGACTTGTCTGGAATTATTTTGAACTGATCACAAGACTCAGGGTTTGAAGGGGATCTTCACATTGCCTCAGTGTCTCAGAAGTTCCCAGCTCTGTTAACACTATGACTTCATAATTTTGTAAGATTTTGGAAGCCGTATATGAATTAGAGGTTTGTTTGAGCCAACATAAGGCTGGGAAGCTTCTTTTCTGGGAACTCCTGTGTGAAATTCCCAAACAGCTGATCATGCTGGTTCTCTGCCTTAGCTCAGAGTGTTAATCAAACAACAGCTCCCCAGAGTTGGGCAGAGATGGCCGTGACCTGCTAAGCATGAAACAACCTGTTTACCAGAGGATCCCCTGCTACACTGAAATATTATACCTACTGAACCTCTTTTGTCTGTACTGGTATAACTAAAGCAAACTCAGGCTATTTCTTTGTTAGAGTCAGACCCTTCTGCTCTGTTCAATAAAAAATAAAAAAAAAACTGATATTTTATATATCCACCCAAAGAAGGAATAAAAATGAGGACATCTAGGTGAACATTTTTAAAGGGCAAAGAGCAAAAGGGAATGAGCTTATGAAACTAAATATTTCCCACATACTTCTATTTGATAAGAGAAAGCAGGTAGGCATCACTACATTTCTAAAGCCACTGACAAATGACTTTGTCTCCTTCATCTTTCAAGAAAGAGGGATGCTGGGGCTGAATGTACAATGAAACATAAGGAACACTTCCAGTTTCCTGGAAACCAATGGAAAGGCAAATCACAACACTCTAATTGGTGAACTCTGTCTTCAAAGAGGTAAAAGTGACAAAACAGACTCAAATGGCAATATAAACCCATATGGTTTAATTTTATTTTCTCAAATAACATTTCCTTGAAATAAAATATTTCTGTCTCTTACATAGGGAGTAAATTTCATGAAGACAAAATTTGACTTGACAAAGTGATTTGTGAAAAGTTGTTAGGATAGGTAGGAACCTGGCCATATAGCCTCCTCTAATGGGAGCAAAAGGAAGACACAGGCCTAGATAAATTTACTCCCTTTTTTTCTTCTTTCCAGTTTTAGAGAACATCTGGCAACAAAACAGACAGCATTTAGTGATGATGAACATCACAGTTGCCACACAGGCCAGCAGGAACCCAATCACATCCAAAGAGTAGTACTGGAACCAGGAGAGGTCATGGGCAGCCACCCGGAGGTGTTTAGCTCCTTTGTGGCGCATGACAAACTCAATCCAGAAGACAGCTCGGTCCAGAGGCTTTGTTGGCTGATCATGGTGAATTCTTGATAACTTCATAGCATTCTCTTTATATCTAAAGGTGAAACATAAAAGGATGAACATTGAAAGTAAGTTAATCTGTCTCAGCACATAAAGTCAATGAAAGTTTTTCACAAGTGCCGTATGGATGATTTCAAATAATTATCAGAGACTTGCCCTGCATATGATTTGTTTTTTCTTTCGTCACCATATAATGTCTGATTTTAACTTATGTTCTGATGTAAAATATTTCAAAAGTGCCCATGGAATTTCAAGAAGGTGAGTCAAATTCTTTTCATCAAAGGAAATAGATATGAACCATTCTGAATCCAATAAGTGAGAGAGAAGGCACATAATTTGCAAGAGATCACCTTGAAGCTTTTAAAGAAGAATTATGTCATGGTGTGCAGTGCTTCCTAACTATTCTCTCTGTTTTTCCTCTTCTTTTCTACCCTCTAATGTATTTTCCACTCAGTAGCCAACTTGGTATCATTAAAACATACACATCTAATTATGAAGTATCCTGCTCAAAATGTTCATGTGACTTCTCAACATAAGTAGAATAAAATCCAAATCTCTTCTTGTACTCGTGGATTCTGATGGGTTAGACACTGGCCATGATTTCTGATATTATTTTTCCTCACTCATTTTGTCTAGACATATGTGTTTTTTTTAATTTTATTTGAATTGACTTTTTTTTTAGTTGTATGTAACACTAGGACACATTTTAACATTATCACAAAAGCAAGGAATATAATTTGCTCTAATTTAGCCCCCAGAAGTCCTCTCTTCCCATACCCTCCTACCCTTGCTTCACTCTCTCTACTCTACTGATCTTTCTGCAATTTATATGTACTTTTTTAAATTAGTGTTTTTTTGTGTATAAATAATATTGGGATTCACTGTGATATATCCAAAAATGTACACATGAACTTTAGCCAGATTTTTTTTTTTTTACTCTTCTTCCCTTTTCTTGTTTCTGCTTATTTTTCCTCAATCTTCTTTGTTCACTCTATTGATCTTTCCTCTCTTTTGATAAAATTCTCTCTTTTTTTATCCTTTCTTGCACCCCATTATTTTAGATTATCTTGCACATATAAGAGAAATCTTTTGACGTTTGATTTTTTGAGCCTGTCTTATTTCACTTGGCATGATAGTCTCCAGTTCTATGTATCCACTGGGAAGTGACATAATTTCATCTTTTAGGACCAATAATCCATTATGTGTATACACTACAATTTCTTTATCCATTCCTCTGTTGAAGGGAACCTAAATTGTTTTCATAGCTTGGCTACAGTGAACTGTGCTACTATAAACATCAATGTAGTTGAATTCCTATAGTATACTGATTTTAGATCTTTTGAATATATACTGAGAAATGGGATACATGAATTATATTGTAGATCCATTCCTAGTTTTTAGTGGTTTTGAGCACATGTGTGTTCTCTCTGTTCTCCAGTGTCACCAAATGTGTTCTCCCCTTGGCACCTTCATACTTTTAATCTCCTCTGGCTTTTCCTTGAGTATCCTTTCATGCAACACCATAAGTCTTACTTATACCTCATGGCTAAGTTCTTGGCCATCAAGTCACTCCTCAGAGGTACTTTTCTTGGTCTTATTAGCATAGTAGCCCTAGGGATTTCTTCTATAATTTTATGGTGTTTTAAATGTATTTCCTATTAATATAAAATACATTACATTTTCTATAATAAGCCCCAAAGTACAAGAAAAATACACCATATCCTAAGTGATCACCAGGAAATATCACAATTAACTTGCAGGGATGGTGAAGTAAGGACACCAATATGACCACTAATTGGATCATGATACAGGATTTGCAGGTCATATATTCTGCCACTTAGAAGATCCTTAAGAATCCATTAGAAGACTTAAATCTGATAATGAAATATAAACTCAGAAAAGGAACAATATACAAATTGCCACACAAAACAAAATCGCTTTTTAAATATATCAATAGCAAACTCAGTGAGAAAGAAATCAGAAGAATATTTTTTAACAATACCTTAAAAGAAAAATCACTAGAAATCAATGTAATAAAGGAAGTGTAAGTTTTCTACAATAAAATTTATAGAATATTGAAGAAAGAAGATACTGGAAGATGGAAAGTCATGAACCAGCAGAAAGAATACTGTTGAAATAGCAATCTGGCTGAAACCAATCTACAGATTTAATAAAATCTGTATCAAAATACCAATGAAACTCTTCTCAGAAATAAAATGAAAATTGTAAAATTCATATGGAAGCCCAAAAGATCTCAAATATCCAAAGTAATTTTGAACAAAAGGAGAAATGCTGGAATTAACACAATTCCGATTTTAAAATAGACTACAGGGCCATAGTAACACAAATAACATAGTGTGGGATAATAAGAGACACACACCAGTGAAATATAATAAAGGCCCAAGAAATAAACCTGTATAGTTGTAGCCATCTGATTCTTGAGGAAGTTGCCAAAAATGCACATTGGAGAAAAGAGAGCCTTTTCTAAATATGTGCTGGTAAAACCGGATAGCCATATGTAGGAGATTGCAGCTTGATCCCTAACTCTGACCCTGTACAAGAATGAACACAAAATACAATTACACATTTCAGTACTAAGTGAAATAAGTAAAAAAATCAGAAATACAAAATATTGCATGTTTGCCCTCACATGTGGAATCTGGCAAGTTAGGTGATATAAAAGTAATAGGAAGACTATTATACAAGAAGAAAGGGATTAGGAGAGAAGGAGGAGAGATTGTTAGGGTAATGAAAAGTCTTTTAGGACATAATGTAAAACTGATATATTCATATTTAAGTCTGATGTTTTCATCTGTATTTTTCTCCATTTATATATTATTTTATGTCTCTTTGTTCCATTCTTTATTCTCTCAGAGTATTTTTATTATTTATTGTGCTACTATATTTTTCTTGGGAATGTAGTTTTGAACTTGTCCTTTAAGTGATACCTTCCTTAAGCAATAATATTATCATTAAGAGAAATGAGAGTTGAATTGAAGACAGTCATTCTACCTAGAAACTATATACTCCATATAATTTCCTTTTGCAGTATGGAAAAGGTTAATTATTAAAGTTTTGTTTTATCAAATATTATGAAGAAAATTTTATTGTGCTTCTAAGATTATCACAATGTTAAAAAAATCAACCATATGGAATGTTAGAAAGATATTTGCAAATCAAATATCTGATGATACTTATGTCCATAAACCATGGAGAAATATTAAAATCAATAATTAAAACATAAATAACCTGGTTAAAAATGAGCAAAGGGTTGGAACTGACATTTCTCTCATGAAGGTAAGTGAATGACCAAAAAGCACATGAAATGATGCTCTTTAGCTGTCATGGAATGCAAGTCAAGACCACAGTGAGCTACAATCCTATTCATTAGGATGACTACAATAAAATAAAAGGTGATAATAAATGCTAAAAATGATATGGAGAAATTGGAACTCTCTTATTTTGCTTGTATGCTGTAAAAAATTTTGCAACTACTTTGGAAAATAGTTTGGCAGATCTGAATACATATAAAATTATTATATGACCTAACAGTTCTATAACTAGAAATTACCAGAAGACATGAATACTTATGTTCATACAAATTGTGCACTTTGTTCATAATAATCAAAATTGGAAACAGAAAACTTTATAAACTGATGAATTGATAAATTACTTTGAATATTTCAAACCACACAATGTTATTCAACAATAAAAAAGAATAAAGGCTGACCCTTGGCAAAGCATGATGAAACTAACAGTACTAGTGAAAGAAACCATTGAAAAAGACAATAATTTTTATTATTTTTTATGTGAAATATTTAGAATAGGATGATCTATAGATACAAAAAATAAATGGACTTTTCCTAATCTAGGAGGTAATAAGATATGACTTCAATGCATTGTCACATTTCTTTTGATGTGATAAAATTTCCAAAAATTACAATATTTAAGAGTTTTATAACTATGGAAACATCAAATGTATTTGAATTTTAATTCACACTTTTTAATTCAGATGTAAATGGTATATTGTGTGTTATACATCATTAAAATCTGTGAAAATATTAATACTGATGAAATAATTTTTGAGTAAAATAATTTATGGTTGCAGAAATTTTAAGTATGGATTTAAGATACTGTCATATCTCTATAAGTTTATCATTCTTTTCTTGTGTAGTTCCTGTCATATTTAAAAATTAAACCCTAATTGAAAATGGCTATATATGGCAAAAATTTTATGTATGTATAGAAATGGTGCAGTAATCATTTTCCTATGTAATCTACAAGATCAATGCAATTTTGAAATTCTTATGATATTTGAAGTTGTATACAACTCTGAAACAATAATGGTTAAACTGATTGAAAATAGATTTAATATGGGTTGAATCTTTAGATTCTTTCAAAATTACCCTCCTCCACAGCTACATCAATGTTTATAGCAGCACATTTTTCAATAGCTAAACTGTGGAACCAACCTAGATGCCCTTCTATAGATAAAAGGATAAAAAGTGTGGCATATATACACAATGGAATATTACTCAGCAATAAAAGAGAATAAAATCGTGACATTTGCAGTTAAATGGATGGAGTTAGAGAAGATAATGCTAAGGGAAGTTTGACAATCAAAAAACCAAATGCTGAATGTTTTATTTGATATAAGAGGGCTGATTTATTGTGGGATAGGGAGCAAGAGCATGGGCAGAATAGATGAACTCTAGATAGGGCAATGGTTGGAGGGTAAGGGAGGGGGCATGGGGTTATTCATGATGGTGGAATGTGATGATCATTATTATCCAAAGCATAGGTATGAAGACATGAATTGGTGTGAATACACTATGTGTACAACCAGAGATATAAAAAGTTGTGCTCTATATGTGTAATAAGAATTGTAATGAATTCCGCTGTCATATATGAATAAATTAATTAATTAAAAAATTACCCTCCTGAAAATGGGCTGCAATTTATGCTCATTGATGAGAAGACAATTCTTCTATGAATAGTACCCAATGTCAAAGTTGTTGTACTCACATAGGGTCATTAATGACCATCCTCAAGGCCTTGAGAAGATCTGCAGTTGACAGTGTTCTGTATTCCAGTCGAATAGCTGCTCCCTTGGCCTTCACATAAGCAATGTTATCAGGTTGATCCGCAAACAAAGGAAGGCCCACCATAGGGATCCCATGGTAAATCCCCTCATAAACACCATTGGCTCCACCATGAGTTATAAAAGCTTTTGTTTTTGGATGACCTAGAATTGATTTAATGTCAGAAAAATTATTAATTTAAATCTTAGAAAGAAAAGGAGAAATGTGTATTATAAGTCATTAAAGGGATCAGAGTGTATTTTAGGTGACAAATTATTGTAAACATGACCCTGCATTAATTATATTTTCATATCACAGAAGAATAAGCACCTAAGTCCACTAGAGTTCTAACTGAAAACTACATGAAAGAGAGGGTACATAACTTGAGACTTTAATATTGAATATGACATTAATAGGTAGAAAACATAGAATATTTATTAGAGAAAGAATCAACATGCACTTATGGAAAATAAGGTCATGAAGGACATGTTAACATATTATCTCATTAAAAAACTGAAGTCGCTAAGTTTGCTATGTAGCATGTCAAAAGCAGCAGGGAATAGGATGGTGATGGTACTGAATTCAGAGAAAAGAGAGACTACACTTCATTACAAAATGTGTTTGCACTTCATAATGAAGATTATGCATTAATTTCTAGGGAAAATAAAGAGTCACTGTTCATAAAAAAAAAAAAAAATCCTGGCTGCCATCTTGAAAGGTATTTGAAACACACCTGCAGGAGAAAAAAAAATAAGTGAAAGACATACAACAACAAAGAGAGACAATCCAGGAAATGAGTGATAAATTCTTGCAGAGGTAAATGCACAAGAAACAAAGATAACTTGGATTCTGTATATAATGACGGTGTATATTAAAATTGCAGATTTTTGCTTTGTTTTTTTTTCAAAACATCACTGGGCCTGGAAAATAATTAAAAAGAAGTTGAACATTGTGTTTGATTTTTTTAAGTAACAAGTATTGAATAAAATGTTTCCTGTTGAATTTTTAGCATCCAGATTGATGGTACTCATGCTTTTAGGACTTATCTCAGAGTCTTACCAAGAAGGTCATTCTGGGGGATCCAGTTGTATATTCGAGTGTTGGGTCCTAATTTATCTGGCTTCTTGCCTTGATATCTCCAGATGACCTGTTTGGTAAAGAATGTACCTTATTCTATTATTTAAATTTTAATGTTATAGCATGTTTGCATTTCTAAAAATTTAAGACATCATCGAGTTCAACGTTTAACACATAAAGAAATAAGTACAATTTTAAGTAACGAGAATTATGAAAATACAAACTAAAAATCCATAATTATTTTGTTTTATGCATTTTATCCTAGATTTCATTTTCCAACTTAATATCATTATGTTTATTTCTTGTGAGTGACATAGGTTAGACAGGACATATATTGTTTAAGATGCTTATTTCAGTTTGCATTGTTTTTTATACACAAAAGCAAACCAATGCAGTCAGCTACTATTAGAAATAAATGAATACTAACTAAGAATTACATGTACCTTTTTTTAGACTTCAATTTATCAAAACACTACCTATAAGAAACCTTTTATTGGTACTTATGGACCTTAACCCACACTTCTATCAATATTGGTGAATTTGGAAATTCTTTAATTATTAAAAGGAAGAAACCATTTGCAACTTACAAATAATTACATGGATATTGAAATAAAGTTCAAAATTGTGAGGTTGCTAAAACTGTGTGTTATCATTCAATGATGCAGTACAAATCTTGGTGGTAGTCTTATATACATCCAAGATATTTTTATGTCTAGGAACAAAATAAGGAGCTGACTCTGGAAATTAAAAGCAATCTTCATGAACCAGAGTATAATTTCTAAGTGCGTATCTTCAAAATGCAATGGGAGCAGCAAAGTAAATTTAGGTCTAGAGAAGAAAAAATAATTGGGCGATTAGGAAAAGCCTATATCAGATAGGAAAATGCAAAGCAGATGGAAAACACTCAAAGACTACAAGAGTGGTTATGTTAGAAATTTGGTATTAAAGCATTTTATGGAGGTGGGAACTTTTGAATTTCAGCCCATGCCACGCTTGCTTCTGCTTGACTTTTACTTATACTCTCTTCTTTCTTCTTAAAAGGTATTAGTCTGATTTTTTAGAAGCAAAGTCTTTTGGGGTACATTTTATAATGCACCAGGTCCACTTCAAAGGAAGAACTAATCTCTCCACTTTCTTTAATTGTCAGACATTGTCAGGATCTTGTCCACTAGTGCAAGCTGTTTTTTCTTTATCTATAAATACATGTGACTGAGTGGGAATTTGGCCCAATGGTTTGGGTAGCCTTTCTCCTCAAAACTCCAGGAACAGTTTCTTAAGTAAATTTATACTTTTTTTTTAATGGGGAGGGGACCTATTTTGGGCTTACAGTTTCAGAAATTCAGTCCATATTTAGCAGACTCCATTTTTCTTGGCCAAAGATGAAGTAGAATATTATGGCAAGAATACTATTCTTAAATGAGGGTAACCAAGGAATAAGGGATTGCATGGGATAACTAAAATCATGATAAAATTCAGCTTTCTTCAATACCTGCTTAGCATTATTGTGGTGATCCAGTTAATAAGTTAACTTTTTATAGCTTTCTGATGATATTGGTAATGTATATAGTGCCCTCGGGAATCCTTCAAGGAAAAGGAAGAAGTAACAGGGAAGAATGTGGTACTTGTGTAAATCCTTTGATACCCGTACAATTAAAATTTCACAATAGACCTGTAAAATATATTTTTTATGACCACAATGTTAATATTAGCATGAATTAAACACTCTCTACTGTTTAGAATTACCACACATATTTTTGTTTAAAACATGATTTTTGAGATGAATTAGAGATATCACAATAGGTTATGTTTCACAAACGATGCTTCAATAAGCAAACCCTTTATAAATTTTAACAGACTTTTTACATATTTGGCCACTAAGAGGCCACTTTTTCTTACCTTTTGTGGAATCTGTGCAAGGGCAAATGCAATTATATTGGCTTTCTCTTCTGGCATGTTAGAAACCATTGACCCCAGGGAAAATACCACAATACCATTTTCTCCAGAACTCTGTACAAATTCTTCCATTTCCTGTGAATAAAACATTTGCTCCATCAAAAATGATGAAGAGGTAGGGGATACAGATGTCAGATTAGAGGAAGGCTGCCTTTCTAGTTGCTCCAAGGATCAAAATATAAGCAGTGAGAATACTGCTTCTTAGTGAGGTGGGTGAAAGAAGGATTTCACTAAAATTCAATACTGGACAGTGAGAGTGTCTCAGAGACTCAGAAGTTTGGGTTCATTAAACAAAGAAGATTACATTGAAACCAAACTGTTTGTGGAAGCAGCTACAAGCAGTAGTAATGGTGCTGTCTACCACAGAGAAAGGAAAAATGCAGGGAGAAACACAGTGGACATATTTCATATGAAAAAAACCTGAGATCAGAGAAGCAACATGAACTTAGCTGATCCAGAGACTCCAGTGTGCACTGGTGATTAAAAAGTGCTTTTTATTTACTGCCTGGGGAGAGATGAGGTGGATTCATCTTGAGGTGGCCTTGCTCCAGTCTCTGTTACAAGAACTGGGAGATCTGAGCAAACACTGCTAGAATGTTTACTGTGTGGCCTAGAGTGCACCTAGCTAAATAGGAGTGAAACATGCATAGATAAGATTTTACTCCAGGGGATTCAAGTCAGAAAAGCAAAGGGGCAGCACAACTTGTCTTTTTTTTTTTTTTTTTTTTTGAGCTGGTGGCTCATGTGACCAGATGAAGTGGGTGAGAATCTGATCAGGAACTTAGCGAAATACTAAGGGACTGAGCCTAGGAAAGATGTGCAGGTGAACAGCAGAGTGTGTGGAAATCAGTTCCTCTGTGAAATGAGTATAATTGTCAGGAGGCTTCTGAGATTCAGACTCCCTACAGAGATAAGCAACTGCCAGGCCCTAGGTGTGTGTTCATCCAATTTCTTCAGAGTATATACCAAACAAAACCTCTGAGGTCTGATTAGACCTAAGTTTCCTCCATCAGAACTCATCTCATAGAACACTGCAGCAACCTCACCCCAGGAGTGCTTAGATCTGGTCTGTGCACACAAAGCTCCAACTGACACTTCTTCCCATTCCAACCTATGTCATACTGGTAAGAAGGGAAGCAGAGAATTATTTCAAACACCTTCAGTCTTAGACCATTCCAAGTGGTAACTCAGAGAGAAACATAAAAAGAGGAAGGGGATAACAAAATCCAACCTTTTCTCAGTATATAGGTAAAAAAGAAATGGAATAAAAAACAGTTGAGTACAGTCAGTAACCATCCATTCTGACAATTTTGGCCACCTCAGTAGAAATGATTCCTTTATTTATCATTAAGAATATTTTTAGTTTTTTCTTATTCTTTCTGTATGTTTGTGTATTCTTCCATTACTGATCAGTTTATGGACATATATTCATATACAATTCTTTCTTTATTTCAGCTTTAGCATTTTTTTAATGTAGCTATTTTTCCTTGCATTGTCTTTTGAGAGTTAAGAGTTTTTTGGTCTGTATATATTTGTTTTGTTTTGTATTGTTTTATTTGTTTGTTTCTGTATTTGTCTTTTATTCTCCTGGTTATAGCAAAAGTCTATTCTCTATTTTTCTCTCCATTTATTTGTTTCTCCTATTTTCTCCTCCATCCTTATGACTATCACCTGCTCTCTCTTCTGCATTCTCTCTCTTCACTGTTTAAAATTTCAAACTTTTTTCCGTATCTTATTATCTTACATTATTTTCTCTTACTCATTGTATTTTTGCCACCTTTAAACTAATTGGTTTATATAACTCTTGAAACCACCATTAATGTTGTTGCAATTATTACTTCTTGGATGACATAGTTGACACCTGTTTCTTGTTTTAATGTCAGATTTAGTTTATATTTATGCACTGCTTCATTGTTGGCAATTGCTGACCAACTTTTTCTATATTTTGTAGCCATTTACATTTTAGCAGTCATAATAGAATCCAGAGATTTATTTTAATGTTGTATATTATTTATATCCGATGTTGTTGTTCTTTATTTCCCCTTATTCTGTGAGTATCTGGAAATCTACAGTGACACTACAGGTTCACATGGTAGAGAAGTCCACTGCTGAAATAAATTCAACCAAAATATAGTTTATCTTGCTCCACATGAAAATTAATGGCATTTAATCACTAACTATACTTTAATACAGAGAATAGTACAGATAAATTTCAAAGTAATGATTAGGCCTCAAATAGAAATAGCTGAGGATGAGGATGAGTTCATGGTTTCCACGTATGGAAATCCACTGCACAGGAATTATGGAATTAATTCAAAGGCTGTGAATACCATACTTATAAGGAGTCTTAATCCAGATCACTCCAGGACACTTTGGATAGTAAATATTATGCCTTAAAAAAGTAGAAGAGGACTGGTTTTGTGACTCAGTGATAGAGTGCTTGCCTAGCACACATGAGGCATGGGGTTTGATTCATACTACCAATAAAAAAAACTAAATAAAATAAAGTTATTGTGTCCATCTGAAACTAATTTTTTTAAAAGCATGTAAGAGAAATCCCTCCTAACATATGCATAAAATCCAACAAAGAGTATAAGAATTATGTTAAAATAAGGTACCATTGAATCACTTAAAAGTTTCTAATTTTCCAAAACTGATGCCAAAGATATTGAATTTTTTTTAAAAAAATCAGGTAAACAATTCAAAAAGTAAATTATTATAAAATATAATTAATGAAATTATCATATTTTAAAATGATCAATGAATTATAAAAATGATCAATTAATTCCAAGAGAACATAGAAAAACAATTGAATGAATTAAAAAAATCATTACAGAATATAAATGAAAAATTCAACAAGATATAAATATTGAAAAAGAACCAAACATAAATCTTGAAAGTCAAAGATAAAATAAA